TTTGCTTTTTGAATTACGCAGAATGTGCAGAGAATCAAAATATCATAAGTCATTTAACAAAATGATATTTTAGGCAAAAAGGCATCACCTTAGACCCCTGATGAAAGAATTTGAGAGAGAGAGGGCATATATGGTTGCCAAGAAGAGGAAGAGAGCAATTCCATTTCCTGTAAAAACGAAGAAACAGAGCATTAACAAACACACATGCATAAATCTCAAAGGAAATTGGTAAGAAATAAGCCCAATTGAGAAAATAATCAGAAAATCAGAGAGGAAAGTTCTGAAACTCAATAAAGACTCACTCTTTCTCCCTCACTCTTTCTCTCTGTACCCGTTCCCCTCAACCCCACCCCCATACTTTTCCCCATCTTTCTCTCTCTCTGCAACCAACGTCAGTGGACAGAACCCACCCTCACCCCAACCCCCTTTCTAGCTCCTACCCTTCCCATCAACCCTGTGTCCACCCCCAACCCTTCCCATCAACCCTCTTGTCTCTCACTGTGCAAACCCTAAACTCGATGTCACCCTCTGCCTCTCTGCGCGATCTCCTTGACGAGCACCACACCGAATTGCAGAACAAAAACGCCCCAAATGGTGGCCGTTGGATTAAAAGTGAAGGGGGCAAAAGAGTCATTTGATCTTTCGGTGAAACCCAGCCCAAAACTTGTGAAAGCTGCACCCTGGGCCCAAATGCAGTAGCCCAACCCAGCTGTTAAGCACGGCCCACACTAACACACACAATGGCAAACAGTAATTAATTCATAATCGAGGGCCCATTCAATAACCAACATGAGCAGTGCAATTTATTTTCCTAGTTTAGAATAAAGTAATTTCTGTTTCGACTTCTCTTTTGATTACAAGATTGTGCTGAATGTACTAAACTAAATAGATAATTAAATACGTGTTAGCTTTTGAAATTAGTTCGAAATTGAATTTAATGACTTAGTTTACGACTAATTCCTTGCCTTACAAGGAATTAAAGAGTGTTAGGTTATTGTTTCATGTAAATCCCTTTTTATGATTCTGGGGTTGTTTTTGTTTGTTGATCAAAGGGGCTTGAAAGAGTCAAATGTGGATAGCTTTGTTGATGATGTCCTTGTGAATGATAGACCATGGGCTTCGGGAGTGCAAGAGTCATTGACTAGCCCCCATGTATTTGCCCTTATATTTGTATACACACATATGAGTCAAGAGGAATGGAATCGTGATAGTGCACGTGTTCGCATTGATAAGTTGAAAGAGGAGTTTGAGATGCGAGGATTGACGAATCAGGTATTTGTTACTGCTTGCTTTCACCTTGAAGGCCACAACTATGCTGGAATATTCACGACCTACGACCCAGATGGAAGCATGACATACCATTGGTAATATCCGGATCATAACAATTTAAAATTTATCGTATTGGGATCGATGAAGGAGTTTGAATATTATGTATTATTAATTGCAGGTATCCATTTGTCAGTCCTGGTTATGTGCCGGAATTGCTTGATGAACATATTGGGAAGGGAGAGATTATAGAACGACATTGGAGGTTTGTACATTTTTGGTTTTGCCTACTATCTTTGGATGAAAATTTCAATGGACGGCTTGTGTTGTCATATTTTTCAATTGCTGATTATGTCTTGTCTTGTATGATAGATTAATTGATATAGCGTTGCATTAACATGGAGGAACTTTTGTGGAGAAAGCATAAAAGAACTAGATATAATTGTATTACCATGTATATGTTTCTGATTTGTATTGTTGTTGTGATTTGTTTATTAAGCTTGATCATACCTATTCTTACTCAATTGCTATTGACGAAACTTAGAGTTGAATCTTTAAATTGTTGAACACGAAATTCAATTTCATTCCTTACAGGGGCCAAATGGGAGCATCTTCTGATGAAGTTGAAGAAATTAATGACCTGGAACTTCCAAATGGAGAAGAAAAAATAAGAAAATCGAGGATAAGCCACAAGAAAATGGCAATCAGATTCACCAAGAAAAGGGCAATCAAACTGAGAATAATGAGAACTTTTCAGGCTGTTGCCAGGGTGCTAATAGTGATGGATTTACATACTGCAAAGAAGTAAGTTTGGAGGAGGATGGTGGAAGTGAGGATAAAAAGCCGAAAGAAACCACAAAGTCGTGTGCCAGGAAGGATGCCTTACGGAAGCTGTCAAGCTTGATTGGGAACTGGGAGCAAAGTGACGTTCTCGCAGCTGCTGCCGTGGTTGGAGCAGTGGCAACAGTGGTTGTGGCCTATAGCTTTTACAGAAGGTCAGGTTGAAACGTACTTAAATCCATGTCGGTTTTGCCACGGGTGTCAACGCCCTATTTTATTTTCATTTTTTTCTTTGTAGAAAGATGTTAATAACGTCAATTAAATAATCCTTTGAACCATGCTCTTAAATGAATGAAATGTAATAAATTGTTGAATGGTTTTATCTTGATTGGGATCTCTTATGAGACTGCTTGCTAAATGTTTGATGTGGTGTGTTCTAAGCTCCTATGATTATTTTCGATTTGCCTGCTGGATTATAATTCAAACGTCAATTGTGTCAAAATTTATGATAATTTTTGTGAAAGAAATCTTAATTTTGTTGTTATTTATGAATTTCGAAAACAGAAAAAACGGCATTGATGTCCTCGTTGTTTGTTCAATAAACTAGATAAATGACTCTGTGCTAACATCTTAATCTGCTTGAACTATTTTTCAGATATACAAACATTGTTTTGTCATGAATTTTACTTTCGTTCTAGAATAGTTTTTTTTATTTTTTTCTTAGTGTGGTTCTCAACTCTATCATGTGGTAATTCAATTATATCCGTTAACTCAATTTATGTTTCTGTTGCAAGTGGCCTTTTACTATAGTGGTGGAAAGGAGTTAAGCTCTTGTATGACGGTGTGAGTTCAAACTCTGTCGGTATCTAATCTAACAAAATCTATTTTTTGACCCAAAAAAATTTATTTTTCTGTTAAATATAGAGGGCATAGCAAGAATTTTGTACACCCACCTCCTTTTTCCCATTTTTCAGGTTGTGGGATGAATTTTAAATTTATCATCTCTACTTAACAGAAAAATAGATGAAGTCGACGAAAAGGATATATAAAAAAAGTCAGTTTGTAGATCACATAAAACAAATAAAATGTTTAAGAATGAAAATGAAGATAAATGACAAATTCAGGGAACATCGATGTAATTAACCCTATTTATTTTCTATATGTACAAAATATTAAAGGCATTTATATGACACTTATGTACACAAAATTCTACTTTACTCTATATGATGATTTGTTCACTTTACCACCTAAACTTTTATTAGGTGTCTCACTTTACCTTATTCTTTTAACTTTGTTAGCATGAAAGGGATGAAGATCCAGATGAGGTCGAGCAGTGGAGAAGGATCTTAAGGCTTTTGCAGATTTGTGTGGCCGGAATCTTAAAACCACAGCGGACAGGTATTTTAATTCTTCCTCTAAATTTAATTCCAACGTCTTGTATTAGCTTCTAAAACTCACTAATTCACCAAAAATAAGGAGATTATTATCAGACTTTGATTTTATACGTTTATAGGAAAAAACTTTGGAGCTTTGGTAATGCGTGAAGGACGAATCCTCCGTATGTCAAACCCATTTACTAATTCTAATGGATTTCTAATTGTATGACTAAAAGCTATAATACGGTTTAGTGAGGGCAAACAAACGTCTTCTTATAGTTCATGAGCAATCTAACTGAGCTTAACTACTACAGTTACAATGCATTTCGGAAACACGGCTGAATTGAACTTAACTAGTCATCTTGATCAAATCTAATTTATTCAAAACGTTTTCGCTACCAAAATATCTAATCATGATGAATGAGGCATTTAGTTGATATAAATCTTGCAGTTGCATGATGAATCTTACTTTTGTATAATTTTGAATTTTAACTGCGAGACATGAAGGATTGTTTATCGAGAAAATTGTTGGAGACATTAGGAGACTACTGAAAACTACAGACTTAAAAGAAGCCAAACACTCAGTTGGAATAGCTTTTCGAGTGCAATAATTCAGTACTAAATACTTGGATGTTGGAGGTTCACCTGATGTTCAAATAATTGGAATTTGTAGTCTGGGCGGTATAGGTAAAAAAACGATTGCAAGAGCCATTTGGAGTATGTTGTTTGGTATAGTTAAGGAAAGTGATGATCCAACTCTTCAACAACCCACATCTTAGTAAAGATCATTTAGTTCAGTGTTTAAATTAGGGTAGTTTTGATATAGGCGCCTCTTTTTTTAATTTCTTAGATTAAACATCTGCTTCTTTTAATAATTTAATTAAACATTCTTCCTACAATTAAGGTGCCACTTATTTTATAAGTAACATCCTTTTAATGCCATATTAAACGATTTGCCATTATGATGTACCCTTAATTAATTAATAATTATCATGTTAATATCCCAAATCTCCTAAAATGTAGTAGATTAGTTTTAAAAATCTTAACACATCAAACCAGATCTAATTATTTTTCTAACATGCATTTTACTCCTAACTCCATACCATACAAGTAACTAAAGTTCTATCTTCTTCTACAACCATTAGCAATTTTTTTCTTTTCATGTCACTGCTTTCCTCGATTGGCCAATCAAACCCTCTTTCGTTCTCCCTTGTTGGTCATATTCATTTCCTTCATATTTCATTTTATGTACACCTCTTAATCTGAGTATCTATATCAAAGGGTATGCTTTTTGTTCTTGCAAACTTTTTACCCATCTTTCCATCTTTTTCACGTAACATGGTACATTTGGGAAATAGAATTTAGTGGTACATTTTCTTTTAAAGGATAATTTGGTACGTTTCAAACCGACATATTGGTATGTTTTAAGTTAGAATGGGTACGTTTCAATTTAGTATCGGTACGTTTCAAGTTGTTATTGAATGTTTCAAGGTGAAATGGGTACGTTTTAATTTAGCATTGGTACGTTTCAAGTTGTTATTGGTACGTTTCAAATTGACCTGAATACATTTCAAATTGATTTCAATTTTAAATTCACATTTATATATGAGTACGTTTCAATTTAGCATTGGTACGTTTCAAGTTGTTATTGAACGTGTTTCAAGGTGAAATGGGTACATTTCAATTTAGCATCGGTACGTTTCAAGTTGTTATTGAACGTTTCACGGTGAAATGGGTACGTTTCAATTTAGCATCGGTACGTTTCAAGTTGTTATTGGTATGTTTCAAATTGACCTGAATATGTTTCAAATTGATTTCAATTTAAAATTCACATTTATATATCTCATGCCGCCGAATAGCACTAATCTCAGTTCAAAGACTCCAAACTCATCCTTTTTATCAACAACTTTTGTTGAATTTGAACATGCGGCAGATGCCTTTGATGGCCAATTAGCAAGTAGGGTGGGTCAACGGAAAAAAAGTAATAGGACTAAAGGGCCAAGTTCGGCGTGGAATGATGCCACTAAGGTAAATGTGACCGATGAATTTGGGATTACAACAGTTATGGTGGAGTGCAATCATTGCAAAATGCAAGTGCCCACGAAGTCTTCTAGACATGGGACAAATGGTATTCTTAATCATGTGAAGAAATGCTCGAATTTTAGTCTCTACGAGGCTCCAGATTCAAAACAACCATTGTTGTCACAAGGGGTGATAGGGGGTCAAATTGTCGCTCACACTTTCAATAAAAAAAGGCTTGATATGAAATGTGTGAAGTGGATAATAAAAGCGGAGATGCCTTTTAGGGCGATTGATCAAGATGGCTTTAGAGATTGGATCCATGACTTGATTCCAAAGTACAAGCTTCCAAATAGGCACAAGGTGGCGGCGGCAGTTTTAGAATTGTATTTTACAGAGAAGGAAAAAATCAAGGAGGTGGTTGATGGTTTGAGGGTGAGTATCACTACCGATACTTGGACCTCAATCCAAAATATTAACTACATTGTGGTGACATCACATTTTTTGGATAATGATTAGACATTGCATAAGAGGATCCTAAATTTTGTTCAAATTACGTCTCACGATGATCATAATATTGGGAGGTGTCTAGAGGTATGCTTGAATAATTGGGGCATAGACAATGTATTTAGCATTACCGTTGACAATGGTAGTGCCAATGACACCGCCATTGCATACATGAAGAGAAGGCTCAAGTCCAATGGTACTCTTTTACTTGACAGGACTCCCTTGCACATGAGGTGTGCTTGTCACATCCTCAATTTGACAGTTAAAGATGGAATGACGGAGCTTAGTCTTGAGATTGAAGGGATAAGGAATTGTGTCAAATTTTATACACTCATCCCCTACGAAGTTGGAGACTTTTAGGGAGTATTGCATCTTGATGAGATTTGATAAGATGTTGAATATTCTTTTTGATGTTGTCACAAGGTCGAATGCCACCTATGAAATGCTCAATAGTACCTTCAAATTTAAGCAAGTGTTCTCAAGGATGGTGGATGAGTGCAACACTTTCATCTTTTACTTTCAAGAGGAGGTATCTAAAGAGATTAATGGGGTCACAACCAAGGTGAAACGAGTGGGTCCTTCGGTGTTGGAAGATTGGGAGAGGGCGGTGAGTTTTGCTCACTTTCTTAAAAAGTTTTATCATGCCACCTTGACACTTAGTGCAATCCTAACTCCAACTTCAAACTTAATACTCGGCATGATGATTGCATTGCAAGTGGAGATAGAATAAAAGATTTGCAATTCCTCTAATGCCACTTTGCAAGGTGTGGCAACTTCCATGAAGCTTAAGTTTGACAAGTATTGGGGGGACATTGAAAAGGTTAACCCTATACTCTTTATGACTCAAGCACTCGACCCGAGGTACAAGTTTGAATTGTTGGAGGCAAGCCTAGAAGAACTCCGCTATTCATGTGAGGCAATCTTGGATGTGAAGACAAGTATTAAAAAAAACTTGACATATTTGTTTAAGGCGTATAAGGAGGGAAAGGTTTCTAGTAGTAGTGTTACAATGGATCAAAGACCAAGTGTTGTGGTAGATGATTCTTCGGGGTTGGAAGATGATGATGTTGCTACAAGAATGCAAAAGAAGATCCAACAAAAAAGAGCGACGGCCCAACAAAACGAGATATCCAATAAAGTGGATATGTACTTCAATGATCCTCACCAAAACTTAACATATGAGGGTTTCAATATTTTGGATTGGTGGAAAGTCAATTGTGGAACATATAGTAAGGTTGCTAAGGACATTTTTGCTCTTCCTAGTAGCACCGTTGCTAGTGAGAATGCTTTTAATCTTGGTGGGAGAGTTGTAGATCCTTTTAG